AAACAAAGGAAATGTGAACAGCTTCTAAAGATATTGAAAAGCTGTTTGAAGTATTTCATGTTTGCATCCTAGCTTGATACTAGTGAAGTCCGTTTGAAAATACACCAAATTTTTGTGTGTGTATGGTGTTCAGCACCAAGGACAGGTGTGGCAAAACATGTATAAAGCATGGTCTGAGATAGAATTCATTGCATCATTTTCGTAACAAAAATCCCTACAGCATATCAACTTTATATTGATATTTCAACACATCAATCTGAGACAAGAGACATTTGATAACAGGATTACCAATATCTTTCCATGTAATGATCATCTAGGCTAGTGTACATGGTGACACGAAAACATTTAACTGACTTGTAAAGGCAAAGGATAAGAATGGCTGACAAAATGGTTAACGTTACTATAACAAATAGCCATCCCTACCAAGTGTAAGGCTGGGAGAAAGTGGTGCTGAATATTCTCTCTCATCTGGGAATCTCCTTCAAAAATGTCCATAATTTTGCTGTTCAAAACCTGTCGAAACAAAGGAAATTTGAACAGCATCTAACGATAAAGCTGTTTTAAGTATTTCAGGTTTGCCTCCTAGCTTGATACTAGATATAGAGAGGTTCGTTTGAAAATACACCAAATTTCTGCAAAGGGTTCGCACATCCGCCATGTTAACCAATTTACCCATGTTAATCATATGTTAATCATTATGATGTCCTACTTGGCCACTTTTTCACATATTATCGCGTGAAGAAGTACCAAAATCACATACCATTTCCTCAGTATTCACTACTTAAGGCACGAAGAACGTATTCTCGACTTTTCTGAGCAAAATGACTAAACTCCAGGTAAATTCATATCGTCAAACGAGAGGAACTCAAACATTTAATGTCCGCCATGGTTTTCCTAGAAATTGTTATGAAAAATACCCCAAAGGACAGAAAATTACCACAGAATTTAAGGATAAACGTACGAAATAGTTGTCCAAATCTGTTCTGAACAAATTAGAGGTACTTTTACTTTTTAAAAATTCGCCCAGAAATAGCAGAAAATTGTTCAACAATCTTACCGTCACACACGTCAAACCCGACTCGGCTGCACAGTTGTCGGTTCTTGTCTGCACTTTTGTCGTCTTTTCTGTAAAATTACCGCAAAATGCCCCGTAATTTTTCATCCTGCCTGTTGTACAAGACCTTAACTGCATATTCTGACGAAAAATGCACACAAAAATCTCAAAAATAATGTTTTTGAGACATTTTAAAACAGAGCGTCCAAATCCTCGTCTGCCCGTAGATGTTGAAAATTCGCGCGGTTGTGAAAATGACGTCATAGGGCCAGTGGAAAATTACTAAAGATAATTTCAAACAAATGTTGTCGTTTTTCGGATTTTATTACGATATCTCGTTTGAGAATATATTTATCAAGGGTTAGAAATATTGGCGTCTTTCTTGAATTATATTTAAAAAAAAAAAGTTTTCGAAACTGGTATCATACCGGAGGTTATTTTAGGTCCCACACCGGCGTTTTCAGTATCATTTTACAGAGTTGCACTCAAAGTTGCTTTGAGTGCAATGCGGGTTCGCTACGGCTCGCGAATATAGTTAACTCTGGCCGCATTGGTTGGGAGCTCCACGAGAGGGGCGAAAATAAATTCCAGAGTGATCGTTATTCATTTCCCTAGGAACTGCGTGTACATATCCAAATTTTATATGTCTGTTAGTGTACAGTGTCTTTACCTGAATGCATACACATCCGTGTCCATAATATCACCAGGGTCCATAATATCGCCACCTTGAGAAATAGTGTGCTTTAAGATATTTTTACTGCAACATACTTTTGGTATGCACTCCTGCACACCTCAAATCTACATACCTAGGGTATGTTGTAGGGCTGCGGACCGGTACACTGTACCGGTCCAATACCGTAAAAATCGTTTCGGTACAGGTCCAAAATACCGGATCATGAAGTAACGAGTATATAGTACCGAAATAGCTAGTTTACACCATGTATATGACTAAAGATAGGTAAATCCTACCACAAAGACGAAAAATTAGCACTGGAAAAGACGTAAACACCGTCGATTGATTTGAGATCCTCAGTCTCACGAGACATCGCGAGAGTGTGGCTGATCCAGGGTTGTGATTGGTCAACAAACTCAAATCAGATCAGAGGTCAGTCATTTTCTCTTCCCTCCAACACTTTATTATTGTTTCTGTGTCATGATTGAAAAAGTGAAGAACACGTGTTAATTTGTCAAATTGTTCAGGTACAGGTACAGGTCCGGACCTGTACCTAAACCTCTGTACCAGTACCTGTACCTGTACCTGATGTTACGTTTAGGTACGCAGCCCTAGTATGTTGTGGTAAAAATATCTTTAAGCACACTATTTCTCAAGGTGGCGATATTATGGACCCTGGTGATATTATGGACATAGACGTTAGAATATTATTTCCAAAATACAATATATTTACGTACTGAATTTGTGGGAACAGCTCTTCGGCATCCCTTATCAACAAAACTGATTACAAGTTGTTCTCCAAGCAGAGGTTTTGTCTTTTGTTCATGCTTTTGGGCTTTTATATCAGTTTATCTCTTTTGTACTGGTATATTTTTTTTATGGATACTACCTTGCGTATTTGAAACGGACCTATCTAATACTAGTGCTGTTATTCAGCCATCAAAATATCTGCTTGGAGATTAGGCCTCACCGCCTTAATTTTATGGATGACATCAGCGCGCGCATTAATTTTCGCCTGATTTTGTGAGAAAAAAAAAAGAAATTTTGTTGCCTTCTGACAGTGGTCAACATACCGAAAATGGACAAAGATATCTGTTGCCATGCCGGAAGGTGGATGACAGATAACTATGAAGAGAAGAGACAAGAAAAGGCTCTAATTTAATGTTCTGTTCCTTACTTTGATGCAGTGATATGTGATGCTGACTGTGTATGTGATGTTCCCAATGAATCAAAACCATTTGTACAATGATTGAGTCAACATTTTAAAATGTAGGAACATTGTTTTTTTCGGCCTTTTTTTTCCCGCCCGCTCGCACTAGATTTGGAGTCTGTGGAGGATGTCATCCATAAAATTTACTTGCTGTGGCCTTATCAAATCTTATAGTAACAAGTACACAAAGAAGGAAAGTCATAGACCGACTCTTGAAAGACTATATTTTAATTGTCACAATACTGTTAACATGTCTCTAGGAGGTATGTATTTACGCCCAAACGTAAAAATAGAGGAAAACGTAAAAGCTACCGAATTTTAATTACCTTTACATACATGGTTATCATCATCAATCATTTTCGTCATCATAATCTTCTACTCTTACAACCATCATTACTACGCCTGGTGTAAATTAAAGTTAATGACGTTTCCGTGCAGTATATTAATTACATTGAATACTTTTTGGCATAGCTTTTACAATACAAAAGACGCTTACCATAATAAACTAGGGGGGGGGGGAGTCAGTGAGTCGGGGGGTGAGCTAATGTTAAAATAGACGCTTGTGTTTTTCGGTATTTACAGATGTAAGATTTTTATTCCCCCCACCCTTTGAAATACCGCCTTCCCCGATAGTATAGGTTGACCACTATGTTTAGAGTTAAAACTTTTGTTCCAACACAAAGAAATGTTCTCGCCTAGAGCTTTCGACCAGTCACTCTGGTCTTCCTCAGTAGACTGACCCAGTGAGGCTTGTCACATGGCTTCTCAGAAGTGTGATGTCAACACTGGGTCAAAGGTATCCAGTGAAGATTTGAGTAAAGGGCCCTGATGTAAATAGCCTCTTTCACCCTTCTCAGATTGACTGGTCGAAAGCTCTAGGTGAGAACAATCCCTTGTGTTGCCACAAAAGCTCTAACTCTAACATGTAACTACCAACACAGATGAACTTGCAAGATAAGTTGACCTCTACATTTTGTTGTAGAATACAAGAAGACAACCTATATATTGGAACCCCTGTACATGCTTCTTACTTCTTCACAAAGAAGTCTACACCTGTCAGAATAAAAACTCTTTTGTCCTGCTTATTTAACGGCAGTACACATTCCTAGTGAGATTCTCCCTCTTTCTTCTCATATACATAAATTTTAGTCCCCGACGTTCTATCTCTCCTCCCGTTTTTTTTTTCTTTGTACATTGCAAAATGGAGGGACTAGCGTACAGTTCATTTCGCGAGGTGCACCCATCAGCGGAAACTATCATATTTCCGAATTCCTGTCTTCATAATACCTGAAAATTTTGCGCCAAATGTCAGCAGTTAGTTCATCGGAAACTGGAAAGACAAAGTCGGACAACTCACATCTATTTTTTCTTATCAATATCAAACGTGGCGGTAAAAATCTTAACTTTCTTAAACATTTCATATTTCAAAATTAAGGAAGTTGTCATAGTGCCCTTAAGTGTTACTATTAGTAGTAGCGAAGTCTTTCTTTACATATATAAGAGCATTTGTTCATTTTTGTATCCAGTGTCCAAACATTGATGTACAATGTAATATAATATGGCAGTTGAGGGTAGCATTAGATCTCTGAGTTTCAAGCCCTGATGTATTTGGAGCATGTCTAAGGTATCTTCACTACTACTTTCGTGACAAGAAAGACTTGTATTTTTTCTCGGGCACGTATTTTTTCCTTACACCTACCATATAATGGTAAACTCACACACATTTGTACATCTGCCACCACCTACAGCCATACAAATAACATAACTTTCTCCTAGACCTACGTACTCACACCACTGAAAAAAAATGGATAACCCCCTCAGAAAGATTTACACAATTTTACATTCTCTACTATCAAAAAAAAACTTGTAGCTTTATAGATACAACAGCGGGTTATGCCATGGAAGTTACCGATTAGTACATCGTGATTTTTTTTCCTACCAACAAGGAAAAGATGTTACAGGGTTCGAAATACCCGCTCTTGCCGCACAAGTTCACAAGTTCGATGTTCAAATTCTGTGCGACTTATTGAGATGCTAGGTTGCCCAGAGCAAAAGTTATTCCTTTTTTTTGCGCAGAAATCAACATTTTCAATAAAGTTTATCACTGAAAACACAGTCGCTGTGTCCTGCCGCAGCCAGCATGTGAGCGATGCCTTCACAGGTAGCCTGGCTTACTGCTTGAAAATAAACAGCCAGTGTTGACAACAAACTGAATAATCAAAGTGGACAACCTAGCTTTTGGATCAGGTTTCCCAGTAGGCAACCTGAAACTACAGGACAACCTGAAATGTTGATGTGCAGCCTAGTTTTTGGCTTAGGTTGCCCACTTACAGTAAGTTGCCCACAGGCACTGGGCAACCTGAAACTACCGGACAACCTGACATATTTCTGGACAGCCTAGGTTTTGGCTTAGGTTGCCCACTTACAGTGAGTTGCCCACAGGCACTGGGCAACCTGAAAAAAAAGTATTTCGAACCCCGTTGTCTGTCACTCTACAGAGTCGTTAACTCCACGCAAACGACGTTAATTTTAGGCTGATCTACAAGCGAGAGAATCTGAAGAATGTACACTGAAGATGTTTTCAGCCATGTACAGGCGCAGACGTCATCATGACACGTTATATCGTTAACCCCCCCTTCCCCTAGCGGAAGGCGACATAAATATTTACATTGAATTATTATTTATTAGTATTATTTATTTATTTATTTATTTTCCCTGGTCTTATCGCCCGGGCTGTCTGAATCCTTCTGACCGTAAATTCTCGCCATGTCACCGATATTAACCAATCAGAGACAAGGCGTGGAGCTGAGGTATTTCCTGGTTCACAAAGGTCAGGGGTGAAGTCCTGGCCAGGTCAGAGGTGAGTCCCTGGCTGGGTTAAAGGTCGGAGGTCAGAGGCCAATCCCTGGCTGAGGTGTATGTGTGTGTGAGTGTAGTGAGAGAACGAGAGAGAAGAGAGAGAAAGAGAGAGAGAGATTTCTTAAGTGTGATCGTTCGTTCGTACGTTGTCGTATAATTTCCATGCTACCTGAAGGAAGTTTTTTGTACAGAGAAAACCGCCGCCAACGTTCTATATACACCCTTTTTTTGCGGCAGTCTCTGTAGTTGTGTCAGTTTTTCGTGTCGTATCGCCCCCCACCCCCGTCACCCCTCTATCTCCTTCCGCGGTGTCTTGAGATGCGTGTTCTCATAGGCTGGACTCCTTGGGGGGTGTCTGCTGGTTAGCGGTGATGTCCACGACGGGGTTTGAGGTAGTGACGTTGACTGTTCTGCTCAGCTGCACCAGCCTCTCCTCCACACAGCCGGCGGACAGGCGAGCCTCCGCATCGTGGTCCCAACACTCCTCAATCGTCTCGCAAAGGATCTCCAGCCCCTAAACAAACAAACAAACAACAGTGTTACACACTGCCGGCGGACAGGCGGGCCTCCGCATCGTGGTCCCAACACTCCTCAATCGTCTCACAAAGGATCTCCAGCCCATACACAAACAAACAAACAACAGTGTTACACACAGCCGGCGGACAGACGGGCCTCCGCATCGTGGTCCCAACACTCCTCAATCGTCTCACACAGGATCTCCAGCCCCTAAACAAATAAACAAACAAACAAACAAACAAACCCGTAGTTTAACAGGTGCACTCCTAAAGCACAGGCTCTCCAACCCCTACAACATCAACAAATTTTTTTTTGTTTTTGTTATTCCAACATCTAATCCCAAAACGTAGTGACGGCACACTCAACTTTTTTCAACTTATATTAACGCCACCAACACGGGACAATACAATACTCATTTTCACCTGAGCGAAGTGAGGAAAGTCGTGTTAAGTGCCTTTCCCAAGGGCAAAAGGTCGGTGGCATGTCAGGACTTGAACCCGGGACCTCTAGGTTCCGAGTCGTGCACTCTGCCGCTATGCCACACGACCCCACAACAAAACAGTTTGTTTCCTGTTTTGTAATTTACCAACTCAGATGAACTTTCATGCTAAAACCCACCTGATGTTTGAGCCAGGTCTCCCTGAACTGAGGCCGCATCTTCTTGTGAACTACGACCTCCTGCATGTCCTCCAGGGTGGGATGCTGCCCGATCTCCTCCTCAAATGGCAACTGGTACTCATCCACTGGGCCTGTAGAAAATACACATACAAACGTTAGCTTCTACTGTACACTACTGTATGTCTACTGTACATGTCCTACATCTACTACGACAACTGTACATCTCCTGAGATATCAAAACCAGAAGTACCATAACAAGCCTCAAATGGCAACTGGTACTCATCCACTGGGCCTGGGTCAAACATAAACACGTAAACATCTACTGTACAGCTACTGTATGTCTACTGTACTGTACACTACTACAGCTACTACAGCTGCTCAAATGGCAACTGGTACTCATCCACTGGGCCTGGAACAAACAAACAAACAAACAAACAAACATAAACATCTACTGTATAGTTACTGTACAGCTACTACAGCTACTACAGCTCCTCAAATGGGAACTGGTACTCATTAACAGGACCTGAGAATGTTTGGGGAAAAGAAGTGTTAACATGCTGCTAGAGGGACCAAACTCAAGTCACTTCATACTTTTAAAATATACTTTTAACAAACAAATAATTCAACAAGAACAAACAAGAACGTACCGTCTACGGCGGAGCATCGAGAGACGATTTCCCAGAGCACCAGCCCGAAGGCGTACATGTCGATCCTGAGGAACGCGTCCCTGTTGAAGTTGATCGCTCCCTCTAGGACCTCAGGAGCCATGTACCTCCTCGTACCAACCTGGAAACAGAATAAAAACATGGTAAGAATACTCGCTAACAAACAGGCTTCTGCAGTTCCACTGAGAACTGATAGGAGGACATGTTGAAGTTGATCGTCTAAAATGTTTAGAATCCATTAATGATTACTGTATAAGGGATTTAAGTTTAATCAATTTGGAGTGGATTCATTCCTCAAGCTAACCAACATCTATCACAATAGTCGTCCCTCAGTAAGACATCTAGAGCTGCATAGTTCTTGTTTAGAAATTCTATTTAGTCTGACACTTAATCCTTAAATCATTTGAATATCCTTAACCGTAGGAGAAGCAGTTTAGTTATTGGTACATGAAGATGAGTACACACCTGGCCATGCGTGTCCCCACAACTTCTGCCAGGGTCAAACTTCATGGCCAGCCCGAAGTCAGCCACTACCACCGTCAGGTCCTGTTTCAGTAGCACATTTTTACTCTTGAAGTCCCTGCAAACAACAAGAAACAACAGAGGCTTAGACAAATCTTAAATAATATCTGTGATAAGGTCTTTGTTTCAGTAGCACATTTTTACTCTTGAAGTCCCTGAAAAACAACAAGAAAGAAAGGCTCAAACAAACAAACAGAAAAAGTGCATAATATCTGTGATAAAGTCTTCTTTGAAGTGTGACATCAACACTGGGTCAAAGGTATCTGGTAGACGATGTCAGCCCCCGTCGCAGTTCAATGACGTTGATGTCACACTTCAAAGAAATCACGTGACCAGCTTCACTGGGTCAGTCTACTGAGGAAGACCTGAGTGACTGGTCGAAAGCTCTAGATGAGAGAACTTTTTTGTGTTGGACCAAAAGTTTTAACATTAACAAACATACCTATGTGCAATGGCAGGTTTGTACTCTCCGTTTCTGCCCATCACGTCATCGTGAAGATAGGCCAGACCTCGGGCCATGGTCTCCGCAATGTGACACATCTCACTCCATTTCAGCAGGTGGCCCTACAGGGGAAATAACAGGAAAACTTCATTGCAAACTGTCTACAGCAGGGCTCAAAATTCATTTTTGGAAATAGATGTACTGGTGCACCCAACCTAAAAAAATTGGGTGCACAAAAAGTTTTTTGAGTGCACCATATAATATGTGCATAAGGTAAAATAAGTAGAATGTCAGCAAAACTAAATCATGTTTCATTTCTGAAGAAAAGTACTATGACAATGATTTTATTTTATTTTGGACACTTAGATGTTAAGAGTATCCTACTATACTTTGAACATCTTTACATACGTAAACCTACGACAATTGGGTGCACAGTTCCAAATTTTAGTGCACTAAGGTGCACATGCACCCAGTATTTCCAGCCCTGCTGCAGCGATACTATTACTGTATGTTTGCTTACTACATGTATATAGTCTAAAACATCCAGCCACTGTATCAACCTTTCTCTCACAGCTGCCCACAAGATGTGGCAGTTCCAGAATTCACAGCTGGCTACAACGTGTGGCAGATTCAGAATAGAACAAAAATGTACCAAATTTCAAGGAAACTGAAACATTGACTGTATCAAATACAAAACTACTTTAACATATGTGCGCTACTCCAAAACTTATTTTTACCTCCGGGTAGGGATGTATATCCCGAGCGCGGAGGTTTTGTGAGGGAAGACGAAAATTGCGTTCGCACCCGTTTCTCGCGTTTGGGTGGACGGATATGTCTGGGACTTGGTATACGTTTTGCTGTTGGGCTGTAGATGGTGCACGTTGTTTTGGTTTTTTAGTATGTGTGTTTTAGTGCGTGAAAATGATGCGTTTAGACCGCCGATGGACACCCCTTTCAGTGTTGGTCGGGCCTCAGCTTTTGACCTTTGCATGTATAATCACCATTGAGGTCGCGACCACTGATCTGACCTTTCACACAGAGGGGTGTCAGCATTCTTTGAAACTGTTCAGATGTGAACCACATGTGCCGTCAATCAACGTCTCGTGCCTGGTGGGATCGCGCGGGTCGCAGCCAGCGAACTTCCGGGTGGGCCAATGGGTCAGGGGTCAACGCCCTCTTGCGCAATTTCGGATGTTTTCGGCTTGGTATACTGTCTCAGACCTTCTCGGGACTCGGTGTATCTTCTGTTAATGGGCTGTAGATGGTGCAGGTTTTTTTTGTTTTATTGTATATGTGTTTTGGGGCGTAAGATTATTTGTATTTCCTTTTCGTGTCTCGGACACCCGTTACTGTGTTTGTTTACATTATCGCTGGTCGCTGAGGGTCGGGCAGCCAGATTCGCCACGGGATGCCTCCTGTCCTTTCTATTTTTGGGCTCCAGTCGGCTAGGGGGGATTAGTGATTTCACACATCATTTAGCCAATTACAAACATTTCGAAACTTTTCGAAAAAAATGGTATTCGCGCGAATTCACTAGTTAATTCAAAGAACAGTCCCAACATGCACCCAACATTCTGCAACATACATTACAATACCCGGAGGTACAAAATCTACGATTTTCCTTGTTCTTTTTTTTCAACTAAAGATTCTGTCAGCCACTGACGAAAAGTAGTGGACGCTACTTGACACACCTTACAGTTTTCAAAATCTATCCAGTTGCTTGAGTAACTGTTTTCTATAGAATGTGAAACTACTTTTACACATGCACACAGGTCACTGCTCCAGAACATGCTTTTCTTTGCTTGTTTTTCAAACGGTAGGATTTAGACTGGTTTAGACGAAGCTTCGCTCCCAGACAAGAGACATATACACGATAACAAAAGCCGAGGCAAGGTTTGGGACCAGCGTTGGTTTTGGGGCCATGTTTTTACATCAAACACATGTAGAAACATTTCCTTGTTTCTTTAAGACTGAACTAGTTTATTTCTCTGATATATTTTTAAGTTAAACTGGTCAAGAACCTAGTGCAGAGCTGTAACATTTTGGCAACACATTTTTGTTCAGACAAGACTGCTTTTTCAATTAACATGTCAAGAACCTCATAATTTTAGGAGTAGGAAAAAGCCAGAAGACAAGATGAAAACAGAGGACTGGGGGGAAGCTTTGAATCTAACTATTTTTACCTTCGCCAAGAAGGTTATGTTTTCAGGGGCGTTCGTGTATGTGTGTGTGTGTCTGTCTGTCTGTCTGTCTGGTCTGTCTGTCAACACGATAACTAGAGAAGGTCTTGATGGATTGTCTTGATACTTGGTAGGTGGGTAGGTCTTGATGAGACCTCAAAATGATTAGATTTTGGGCCACCTGGCGGCTTGTCATGGTACTGCAGCAGAACTTCCGGTTTTGATATCTCATGATTCAGGAGTAGGAAAGGGGCACAGAATCAAGCTGCAAGATTCTGTATGAACAACTATGTAAGAGGTGCTAGTGTCACGGAAATGAAAAGAAACCTACAGTGGACCTCACTTGAAGACAGAAGAAAGATGTCTAGACTATGCATGATGTACAAAATGACTAATAAACTGGTGGATGTCCCAACTACTAAGTACCTAATACCAGCTCAGAAGAGAACAAGAAATAGCCACGCATTCAAGTACCAGAGTTATCAACCAAGGATTGAGGTGTTCAAGAATTCATTCTTTCCTAGAACTATCGCAGAGTGGAACTCACTGTCACCAAGTACAGTAGGGGCACTGTCAATAGATAGCTTTAAACAATGTCTAGAGCTAGAAGTTCAAGGGTTAGGTGTAACAAGTCGATCGGTGTAATATAGCCAGCTGCCGCCGCGCCGCGTGCCTGCGAAGCTGGTGTGTTACGCCGAAAGGCGGTTATACCGGCTATACAGATACAGATACAGATACAGATTCAGACATGCTAGGGTGACGAAATTTAGATGGTAGATAGCTCTTGTGCTGGGGATAAAGTGACATGAGTTTGAGCCCCCTAGTTGCTTGCTCTAGAACTGCAGGAGGGTTTAATGGACAAATGTTTAAAGGGGGATAACTCAAGAACCGATGGATGGATCATCGTGATTTTTGGTATGTAGGTAGCTTGAGTGATGCTTGACATAATGATATTACAATTATGCAAATATAGATGTAATTTGCATAATTAATGAGGAAATTCTATTTATCAGCTGCATTCCATAATAGGAAGTTCAAGCTTGTGACATATGTTATTAAGAATGAGAGAAACACAGGTAGATATCAATTATGCAAATGAAGACTTAATTTGCATAATTAATGAGAAAATATTATAATTGCATAGTGGTAACTGCCTGGAATTTTATACTTGGGGTGTTTGAAAGTTAAGTTAAGGTGAACATAATTAAACATAACTTATTCAAATAAGGACCTCATTTGCATAATTTATGAGAAAATTTCATAATGGCATTTTTTGTTAAGATAAGACTGTCTTTTGGTGGAGAATATGATCAACAGATATAATTCATGCAATTGAGGATCCTATTTGCATAATTAGGGGGATTAATATATAATTTCTTAATCATAAAAGCTAACATCATTTGGCGAAGGTATGAGATCGTGGAACTCTAGTTACTGACTGAAATTGTGTAAAAACAGAGTCTATACTTTAGTTTACACAATTCAGGGAGTAATGACCTGCGTTTCATAACAGTGGTCAGTAGGTTGTCATGTGGTCCAATAGCTTGTACTACCTTTGTTGGTGACATGATCTAGGTATGTGATACCCAGTATTTTTCTGTAGCATTGTGTTTCCATTGAGAGAATTCTTTTCTGGTGCAGGTAATTCTAATTCTAAGTATCACATTCAGCTTTGTGCAGAAAAAAGGATTTCGAGCCCTGTAATGGCTAAACAAAAACAAACAAATATACCTTGAGATGCCAATATTCAGCCAAACCAATGAATAAACAAACAAGCTTACCTTGAGATAGTCGGTGAGGGATCCGCGCTCGTGGAAAGCGGTGATGAGCCAGAGTTCCATCTCCAGCCCGTCTCCGCGTTTCTCCACCGCGATGAACTGTAGCAGGTTCTCATGTTTCATCAGCTGGGTGGTGAAGATATCCTGCTCATTCAGCCACGACGCCTTGTCCTAAAACACACGATAAAAGCAAGAAGGTATGTTTGTGAGACATTTATCCAGATGATGTTCTTTTTTGTAAGAGACAAGAAGAAGTGGTAAAGATGTCCTGTACATTCAGCCAAGATGCCTTGTTCTGAAATTATGCAAAAATGGTTCATCTATTTCTATACCACAAAGTACAGCAGGGGCATCCTCACTGGACACTTTTGAAACTTACCAGGAGTAATATGTGCTTTCCACACAGAAGCAAAAAAGCTACCAATACTTTTAAAATGACCATATTTTCTGGAGCTTGAAGGCTTTAATCAAAAGTTTACAATATGCAAATAGTACCTGTAGGGGAAATATCTTGAGAGTGATGTTTTCACTGAGAAACTGAGTCTTCCATGCAGCAAAACAAGCTACAAATACTTCCAGAAACAACCATATTTTCTGATTTATTCTCAAGTTCACAATGTAAACCAACGATTAGCAAGGTTATTTTAATGACCTCTCGACCCAGCCTGATCCATCGATTTTGATGCTCAGTTGTGTATTATATGTTACTTTTGGTTATTTTGTTCACTGTTGTTGGTGTTTATGTCTATCTGTACAGGGCACGCCTGTAAAGCAGTATATTGTACTGAGTGCACCTACCCTGTATAAAGAAAACAGAAATAAATAAATGTTACATCCCAGGCTATTGTTTGTTAGCACTATATAAAAAAAAGTGTGCCATACCTGTAGTGGGAATATCTTGACAGCGACATATTCGCTGAGTAGCTGTGCCTTCCACACAGCACCGAACCGCCCGCGGGCTTTCACCTCCAGTAGCTGCAGGGGGCGTAGACCCAGCAGGGGGGAGGGGGGCGGCGGCAGGGGGTCCTGGGTGGGGATCTGGGGGGGGAGAGGTTAGACATTAAGTACAATGATAGAAACATACACATAGACAAATAGATTCAAATGTGTACACAAACTGCCAAACAAACACTCACTCACTCACACACACTGACACTCATGCGTGCACATACACTCACACACACGCAGACACATAGACAGACACACACACACACACACACACACACACACACACACACACACACACACACACACACCTTCACACATATACAGTTGTGTGCCCTTATTGCAGGTTTAGCATACATAACCAGCTTTAATATTTCACACCAGTTACAAAACTTCCTCCATCACCCCTCTTTTTCCATCATTGCATACTCAAAATACAGTCTGCCTCTACGCACAGAAAAATATGTGCACAAAATCACTTTTGGGCTCGAGGACTTCTTTCAAAAGATATAATCACAATGCATACTTATTTCAAATTCAATATTTTATACATCATCTTGCATTGCAAAAGCACACTGAAAAGATTTTATGAAATCAATGAAGTTCGTAAAATTGGCATGGAATGACACGTGACCAAAATCATCAGTACATTCACTACAATAGAAGAAGACCTTTGTATGACAAAGCTGAAAAAAAAAAACTAGCAGCATATTTGGCCCCACCAATTTAATGTGTTGGTTCCTTGATTTGAAAAAAAAATAACACTGAAAAGCACATCTTTGATGATCCAAGAACCAACAAATCAAATAGCTGTGACCTAAGCCAGTACTTGCACCAGCATAAGAAAAACATCAGCGCAAAGGGTAGTGCTGTGTACCAGTTCGCTGAACAAGTTCCGGACTTATAAAAATGTTTAGGTTTAAGTCCAAAAAATCCTGGATGTCTGGAACCAGTTCCAGACTTACAAAAATACAAAATCATGCCACATTTCCTTTTTCGTTCTAAACCACCTAGGTCTCCCAGATTGAAAAATTTGCGCTGCAAAGTGAAGAAAACATTGCCATTTGGCATTGTCATGTGTCAGTCTCCGAACATTCTGTGGCCATAGTTTCACTGAGATGTGTTGTGCAAACAATACATCTTGGTATGTTGCTTTTAAACCCTGGTAGCGCAATGTGCACCACAAAATGTTTGCCAACGTGCAATTTTGTATATGCCATGGGTTTAGTATAGTAAGTCCGGACCTGAATCTAAACCAAGCCTCAAAATTAACTTCCTTTTCTATTGTCCCAGCACTGTCCTGATAATAAATTTCAATTATCCTGAAGTGAGGATGAACTGTCCCAACCTGTTTTTCGGGAAGTATGTATGAGTATGACAACAACTTGAAGTCAACTTTATTTTGCTTATGTTCTGACTCCCAGGCACGCTATAATTGCTGAGTACACAATTTAGTTTTTTTTTCCGGAGCCAAAAGCCGGGACGCATGCCTGATCAACAAAAGGAGGGTTGACATTCTGATGATTATTTTTCAATTTGTCCCAAAAATGTCCCAAAGTGACTTTCTAGTTGTCCCAGCCTGAATTTTAGTGGCCAGTGGCCATCGAGCCCTGTAACCCTGGACTTGAATCCAGACCTGAACCTAAACATGAGTGTAGGTACACAGCACTAGGCGAGGGTTGAACTAGCAACACGGACGTTTCACAACCACAGAGCCAAGCTACGAGAGTAACGTCAGCCCTACCTGCACATGCTCAGTCTTGTGCCGAGTAAAACACTGTATGTGTGAACAAGCAAAATCTTAGTTTTGCTTCACTTCTACAATTTTCTTTATATCAAAGAACAAGCAATGTCTTAGTTTTGAACAAGAAAAATCTTACTTTTGCTTCACTTCTAGTATTTTGCTTTCATCAAAGGAAAATATGCTTTTTCAAGTAGCTTATTATGTAAAACACTGTGTGAACAAGAAAAATCTTAAGTTTTGCTGCCGTCTAGTATTTCTATCTGGCACCTGCCATGTTCGGGTGTCAAAGATTTTTGTAATTTTTTTTCTTTTTCATTTTTTACTGCCTCTCTTAAGACCTTGAATCTGAACTTCAATTGCTATCTTCAAGCAAATAATAAAAGAAAGGTTTCATCATTTTTGGGGGCACTCATTTCATAAATCTGCTATATACTAGGAACGTAGTTACATAACTCAAATATCTAGGTACCCAGTAACCAGTGGTTGATTTAAACTTAGTCATTATATTTCCAATAGTTTCTAAATAATATCAGCACTCTACCATAACTTCCCCAAATTTTGGGTGCACAAAAATCCTTCACTCAGTATTTTTTTATAGTAACAGTCTAAATATTTGTCTGGTAATAATATTATAACTTCATAGAATTCATGATATTTTCAGTACTAATTAAAAGATCATTCGACAGTTTCGACCGTAACTTTGGGTGCACAAAAGTGCACACTACACCCAGTACACCCCCCATCTCACCTGTATGTGTTCAGACTTGTGCCCTTTGTACATGTAGAACATAACGACCCCCCCCCCAGTATCTTATCAACAATCCAAATATTTTCCTGATATTGTAAAACTAAAGAGAAATACACATGATACTTCTAATACTTTCTCAATAATTATATCAACACTCTACCATCACTTACCCAAATGCTGGGTGCACAAAACTACATGACACACCCCGTATCTTTTCAAAATTTTCCTGGTTGAGTAAAACTTTGCAGTCTACCATTACTTACGAAAACAATTTCGATGTACAAAAATCCTTCACCTAGTATCTTGTCAACATTCTAAACATTTCCCTGCTTAAATAAAACATTGCAATCTACCATAACTTACCAAAAATGTTGGGAGCTCACCTGTATGTGTTCAGACTTGTGGCGTTTGTACATGTAGAACGTGACAGCCACCACCAGAGCGATACCACAGATCGGGAACAGGGAGTACATCAGCGATCGGAACAACTCCGTTTTGTTGTCTATCGGAATCGTGCGCGGCGTTTCTGAAGTAAAAATCAACAAATATTAACAAACAAGAAAACAAAACAACTACAGTGGTAGATATACTTTTTTCAATGTTCTGCAACATTGCAGATGAGTGAACATTTTGTTTTGCAATTTTCAAACACTTGCAAATACAAGCCTCCACAGTAAGACTCTGATTTAATGTTTGTTTCTTATGCCAAAAAAACAGTTACTGAAGCAACTGGATATGATTTTGAAAACATCATATCCAGTTGCTTGAGTAACTGTTTTTTTGGCATATCGTATTACCTGGATGTCTAACCTTCATCGACGTGTTTGTTTCTTACTTTGATGCAATGATATGTGATGCTGGCTGTGTATATGTGATGTTCCCACTGAATCAAAATCATTTGTACAATGATTGAGTCAAAATTTTAAAATGTAGGAACCTTGTTTTCTTTGGCCTGCCTTGTTTTTTTTCACCCGCTCGCATTAGATTTGGAGTCTGCGGAGGACATCATCCATAAAATTTACTTGCTGTGGCATTACAAACAGAACCAACAACTCCAGTTGCTGTGGCCTAGGCTGTAGCTTGCACAATCAGCTTTATGTGGCCTTAGATGACCTGGCACCTCAGCCAGTAACACCCCACATTCTCACTTTGATCCCGACTCTGGGATCACACCAGGGCTAATACAGCCCAAATGTTGTCTGTATTTTTACTCCAAACTGTGAAACAGACCGGCCTGTGTGTGTGTGAGCTGGCTTCACAGCTGACTTTAGCTGGGCCTGTTTTTGCAGGCATTAACGTGCCTTCCTAGTGAAAATACTTGTTTGGATAACAGTCTGGCTAGGCTAGGAAGGTTCTGAGTTATAGCTCGAAAATATTACTTTTTTCTGCAGTGTAATTTTTGGACTCAAAGGCAAACAAACTGTAGTGCAGGTAAAACTTGTCTGGCACAGGTAATTTGGACTGCAGGTGGACCTAGTGCAGCAAAACCACATGTAGTGAGTGAACCTGAAATACCATTTCCTACATTTTGAAGGTCAAAATCTTATTTGTTACAGCTCTACCTAAAAGCCAATGGATGTAAATCATTACTACAATACTGACTGGAAAAAAAAACACAAAATCCCCTTTCCCTGATTAAAACACAGCATAAGGGTTCAAAATCACCCCACAAGGCCTCCCTGCACTCTGCAACTTTTTTTTACATACCTGCTGTAGACCTATCTGGCTGTGGGATGGGGATATGGTCAAAGTGTTGGTTACACACACACACACACACACACAAACAAACACGCAAACACACCCTTACCTGCAGTAGACCTATCCGGCTGTGGGATGGGGATGTGGTCAAAGTGCTGGTTACAGAGATTCCCCTCGCAGCAACAATAGAACATCCCGTTCTCTGGCTCTTCATCGTGCTCATAACACTCGGACTTGTCATAGCAGTCATTGTCATCCAACCAGCAACCCTGGAACAATAAAAACAACTGTCTGGAACTGAACCTAAACCTCTGGACTTGAATCCACACCTGAACCTAAATGTAGGTTTAGGTATGCAGCACTAGCAAGAAGTGTGATATAGTCAGGCTAAATTGTATTACATGTAGCTACAGTATCCAAAATATTCAGAGGCAGCTATCATTCTTTGAATAGCCTGAGAGCAGTGAACATTCAGGAACTGTCAGTTAAACCCCAAATATTATTCCAATAGGAGCTCAGCATTCTCTGACACTATGGAAACCTGTCATCACAGCCTCCAACACTATAGTAATAGACAGTTCTCAGTCTAACAATAGCTGGTCCATGTTAGTACACATATAAATCTACAGGATCAACATATTTCTAATTCTCCTGACTTCGAGTCTGAATGAAAGGTGTTACGCTATGAAGCTTCTAGGCACCTGGCCAGTGGGAGAGCAGCAAGAAGTGTGATGTAGTCAGGCTAAATTGTATTACATGTAGCTACTGTAGCCAATATCTTCAGAGGCAGCTATCATTCTTTGATCAGCCTGAGAGCAGTAAACATTCAGGAACTGTCAGCAATACTCAGGCATCAATGTACTCCTGTCACTCCACACTTCCCAATCTGACAAACTTCCAATAGCTCAGGACGGCAGCCTTAGCCTTCTGAACACCGGGCAGAGGAATACAGATTTTGCAAGGCTTATTGTACATAGCAGTTTGACATGGGTTGGGTCAGAGTTCTTAACAGTGTTCAATAAAGCAGGCTGTCAGCACAGAAATCTGAGCTAATATTTCTGGGCTGTTTTGTGGATGGCCTGTGCTTCAACTATTGGGCTTTGAAAATATGCTTCAAGTGTATGGCATCAATTTAATTTCATGGTTCTGAGATTTGTGTTGTTTTTTTTTCATGATTTTGACCTCCAATTCCATCTTCCTTTATGTGGTTTCACCATCCCTTTAACTGTGACTAAATGACTACAGAAACACATAAACCAACACAGCGAAAACAAAACCTCAAGTGGTTTCAACTCTATTCTGCAGGCAGGTCATTTTATTTGATTGATTCACTTATGTAAAAGACTAACGATCTCACCTTCTTGACGAGGGTTATGACGTTGGACTCATTTTTCCAGAGCGCGTAGCAGTGACTCCTCTTCCCTTCATCCTGCTGCTGCTCATCTTTACACGTCACAAACCTGGGGAGGAGTCATCACTCATCAGCAACGGTACACCACAGTGGCCCAGAAATACTTATTTTAGTGAGTAAAGAGGTTCTTTTTACACAACCAAGTATTTTATTCACATTGAAGCCCTGGCCTGTTTTTTTTTTCAGTGCTTAATTTTTCTTCTGCAATGCAGAAAATGTCTGTAAAATGCAGATTGCAAGTAGATATTTCTAACATTGCAGACATATGCTGAATTACAACTGACTGTGAAATGTACTAACAAAGAACTTCAAAATATTATAGTAAAAGTTCATCTGTGTTGGTAGTTACATGTTTAAAGTTATAACTTTTGATCCAACACAAAAAATTCTCTCACCTAGAGCTTTTGACCAGTCAAACTTCAAAGAAGCCACGTAACAAGCCCCACTGGGTCAGTCTACTGAGGAAGACCAGAGTCATTGGTCGAAAGCTCTAGGTGAGGGAACATTTTTGTGTTGGATGAAAAGTTTTAACTTGAAACAACTACAAAACATGATGAGTACAAACCTGGCTGTGGTGTTACAGTTCTCCTGTTGTTCATTGCACTCTTCATAGAACTCACACATGGTGTCCACCGCAGCGCACAGGGTCAAGCCTAAACAACACACAGAGAAACGTTTGTTTGTTTGTTTGTTGGAGCTTAAAGGCATCTCAATAAAATCTCAATTGCAATACACAACGCAATACAAAATGCATGACGGGGAACAACGGACGTTAAGCCGTGCAGTGAGTGAGTGAGTGTGAGTGAAAATGTGTTTGGATTTCAATGTCCTGTTTGTATGTTTGTAAATTGTGTTTAAACATTTTGTTTTTAAACCCTCTAACTGTAGATTTTCAAGTTGTATTTGTATGTACATATATTTTAACACTCTGACCTACATGTCTTTTTGTGTTCAAGCCATAGAAGCTTAATCTCAAAATGGGGCCAGAGGGCATCCCAATAAACCAAACCATCCTTCGGTTCTGACCAATATAGAAACAAGTTTTACACTTGATCAGGAGACGACAAATCTCACTGACCTATCAATGATGTTTTTATACTGTGTTGAACATTTTGCTTTTAAAAACCATGGAAGCTTAACTCAAAATGGGGCCAAAGGGCATCCCAATGAACCAAACTGTGCTCCGGTTCTGACGGATTTAGAACCGAGCTCCAAACTTGATCTTGTGACGACAAATAGGTCCAATGGCAGCCCCCCATTCCTACCACAGGATCCACATGACCCCCCGCTCACCCCCGCAAAAAACTCACACTTGAACTTCTGCCAACTCCCACAGGGCTGGAAATACCAGCCCAGAAGAGAACAAGAAATAGCCATGCCTTCAAGTACCAGAGTTATCAACCAAGGATTGAGGTGTTCAAGAATTCGTTCTTTCCTAGAACTATCGCGGAGTGGAACTCGCTGTCACCAAGTACAGTAGGGACATTGTCATTAGATAGCTTTAAACAATGTCTAGAGTTAGATGTTCAAGGGTTAGGTGTAACAAGTCATTTGGTGTAATGTAGCCAGCTGCCGCTGCGCCGCGTGCCTGCGAAGCTGGTGTTATGCCGAAGGGCGGTTATACCGGCTATACAGCTACAGAACCCCCAAAAAAGATACCAGTACAAAAAAGAAGGCCAGACGAAAAAGCCTAAAAACACACCAAGTATAGGTCAAAATATTCCCAAAACTGAATTTGGAGCCCTGTCCCCCTATCCCGTGGCACAGGCATGCCAACCCTGCCGACCATAAAAACCAGAGGAACCAGCCCGGCCGATTTACATACCAGCCCTGGCAGGGGGCACAGACAAGCCTCTTGTGTAAATACACTGCCTTGTGGGCTGCACTTGTTGCACCAGTGAGAACTGGGATTAGGCCACAGCAAGTAAATTTTATGGATGACATCCTCCGCAGACTCCAAATCTAATGCGAGCGGGCGAAAAAAACCAAGGCGGGCCAAAAATAAAACAGGTTCCTACATTTTGAAATTTTGGCTAAATCATTGTACAAATGGTTTTGATTCAGCGGGAACATCACATATACACAGTCAGTATCACATATCATTGCATCAAAGTAAGAAACAAAACATTTAATCAGAGCCTTTTCTTGTCTCCTCTCTCCTCAATCTCTAGTGATCCAACTTATACAATACAGTTTAGCAAGTAAAACTTGCATGGCATTTTCAATGTCAATTTTGGAAAACTGATCGTACAATGTTTCATCACTCGGGTGTCAGATCACAAAGACAGAAAAGGTCGATAAGCTCGAAAAATTCTTGTGACATGTCCCTTGCTGGGGTCCACACAGAAAAAGGTTGGCAGTTTTTTCTAGGGTAGGTTGGGAAACAGGAAACACAACATTTCCTTCCCTAGGCCTTAGGGTTTGGCAGGTCCCTGGCATGTGTGGACTTTTGTGGGGATGGGAGAAACTTCCGGACTAGCACTGGCAAGGACAGGGTTGTCAAGTCATTGTCATAGGATTATGACTTGCTTATTAAAATAATCATTGACCAAGGACGTACTCTGGGTTTCTGTGTGCTGTTCTAGAGGCATGTGTGGACTTTTGTGTGGTTGGGAGAAACTTAGCACTAGCTTAGGACTAGCACTAGCTTAGGACTAGCACTGGCAAGAACAGGGTTGTCGGGTTATTGTTACCAGATTATGACTTGCTTATTGGTACAATCATTGACCAAGGACGGTAGACATGGTATTCATAGTAATATGGGTTTCAGTTTGCTGGGCGAGAAAGCATGTGTGGGTAGTGTCAGGCTCATAAGAGAAACTTATGCTCTTGCAGTGCCAAGAAGGGTGTTATGGAGTTATTATTACACTTACAGGATTATGACTTCCTTATTCAAATTCTCTAAATGTTCTACCCGTAATACGGTATGTTTGCATTCACTAGTTTGGAGGCAATTTCAACTTCTCCAACATCCAAAATTAAAAATTTTAAACAAGAAATACAACAATATTATTGTTTTTTCCTGACACATTCAAATATAGCATACAAAAGAACCACTATGCACATAATTCTACATAAATGATTCCAAGTGCTGGTATCTTTTCTAAAATTCAAAAAGATTTGTCTGAAAATCATAGGCACGTACTTCAAGCCCTAGGAAAGTTCTAGATGTCTGGGAAAAAGATTTACACATTGCAGGTGTATATTGTTGTAGGCCTACCCCCGTACCCCCTACCATGTACCCTTACCTCAGTCACCCCTTCTCAGTCAAGGTAAAACTATACATAGCACCGTTTCAAGATTATTTCTATAAGAACCTACATTCTTGGACATCTTTACCTTTCCATGACCCAAACCCTAAACTTGTAACCCTACTTTTCTTGAAACATAAAACAGTGGTAGAAATCCTTTTTTCAGTGTTCTGCAATATTGCAGAATGTTAAAATTTTCTTCTGCAATTCATAAATATTTTCTGCAAAAAGTACACATGTAAAAGTCCTGATCTCAACCCATGGCAGATACTGTTATACAAAAAGGTGATTTTACACGCAATTTGAAAGATACCTGCAAAATTACTTCAATGTATCTTATAAAGTGGTAAGCACAAAACCATTTTACACATATCCTGACTTTTTTTCAGTTTGCAAAAATTGCAGGTTGCTTAATTTTTCTTCTACAATATTGAAATTGTCCCTGCAAAATACAGACTGCAGATAGGTAATTTCTATTGACATATAACACCTGCCTTAAGAGATATAGAGAGGGGAATAACCTTTGAGGGTAAAGCTGTTGACTTTACATAAATCCATTTTTTATGCAAACTGACAGATAGAGGGCAACAACCTCTGCAGTCAATGACCTACTGTACTTGAGTTGGGACTTCTGGAAATGTATGTCTGGAAACGATTTAGAGCCAAAAGTATAATCAAAGACAGGCCTATATTATATAAATATTTAAACTTCAGTCGTGGTTTTAGTTTCACTTTTTATGCGGCAAATTCTTGATACCTCGAGCATGTTTCCCTAGTATGACTACTGTAAAGTAAAGAATTGTTAAAACCACAAATTCAAAGCACCATGAAAGTCTCCAACAGTGATATAATACCAGCATGTAAGTTTCTCGATTTAGTAGTATGCTTTACAATATGGGTTCTCATGATATGTTTGTCACAGATTTGACCACCTTTAACTGGGGAAGGATTGAAATATTGTGCGCATAAAGCATTTGCACTTCTATCTTTCATCAAAGGCTGAGAAGAAAGATATCAGATGCTGTCTGAAAACATTTGACTCTTCAAAGAATTTATCCAGTTGCTTGTACTAGTTAGAATTCTGTAATGTTCTAATCGGACATCTAACCTTCATCGACAAATTAGAGCCAAGGTGCCTAAAAGGTACTCTACAAGCAGAGGTTTGGGTTTGGGGTTATTTTTAGCGTGTTTTAGACTTTTTTTATTGGGGTTTCTTTTTTGCACTGGAATTTTTTGGGTTGGGTGAAAGAAAAATTCCAGTGCAAAAAAGAAACCCTGATAAAAAAGTCTAAAAACATGCTAAAAATAACCCCAAACCTCTGCTTGGAGAGTACCAAAAGGTCCTGAAATTGTAACAATCACTTTACAGCCTTAAAGAAAGGACATCCATTATAATAAAAACAGCTGTTTGCTTGGATAAGGATCAGCTAACCACACAAGAAACAATACCTCCACCCCCCTAAGAACAATTGAGCTAATCTCACAGATTAAGATCTCGGCTCCACCTTCCTTTAGAAGTGGCCTCTTGAGAAAGATTAAGGAGTTCACTGGAGCCAGGTAATCACTTGTTGATTCTCAGATTGAAAAAAAAAGTGTTTTACTGCCTAAATAAAGGGAAAACAAAGCCTGAAGACCAGGTTTCAGGGCTGGAAATTCTGGGTGAATTTGCACCTTAGTGCACCCAAAATTGGAGCCGTGCACCCAATTTTTTTCTGTGGCTGCACCTGGTGCACAACACATGTATATCATGCAGGATGTTCTTGGCATCCAAGTGTCAGAAAAATAATAAAATTTTTGATGTAGTACTTGTTAAAGATTTTGAAGTTAGCTCCCATTTCAGATTCAAACTCAGAAGAGGAGCAGTAAGATCTGTAATAAGGTTTTGTTTTATATGGTGCACCAAAAAAATTTTTTGTGCACCCAATTTTTTAGGTTGGGTGCACCAGTGCACCTATTCCCAAAAATGAATTTCCCCTGTACTGCCTAAATAAAAGGAAAACAAAGCCTGAAGATCAGGTTTATGCCTTGCTGTAGATCTACTCAGTTTTACGGAGCAAATACAGTCATATTCAAGTTTTCCTCCCTGTGCTCTGCTTTTAAATTTTATGATGTCTGCTTGCTACAGTATATAGTCAAATTCCAAGCCTTTCTATTACTCTATTCAGACCTGTGATTATAAAGATTTGAGTTGTACGGCCAAGTTTCATATGTAGTAATATATCAACAAACAGGACATGCGAGTCTTTCATGGATTCTTTTTGTACATCATAATACATTTGGCCTCTGATCCGATCCCATTTCTAACAATGGCTGTTTACATAAGCCACAAATTCCCCCTCTCTCGGCGATGAAAACATTTAGTAATGGAATAAAGGAAAAACGTAAACATCCTTCAGAAAAGC